AAGATTGGAAAGGGCGAATCGGTTTCGTATGTGACGGGAGTGTATGCAAAGCCATCGGGTCCCAAAGAGCAGTATCTAGATGGGTGGGAGAAATCCCCTACAGTACCCGACTGGCTTACAGCAGAGCTCAAGTAATTGATGAGAGGGTGTGAGGATGACCACTCGGAATCTTCCAAGCAGTCTCCTATTGCGCGATTTGCATAGCCCTAGGGATATTGATAGAAAGTAGCAGTTATGGAGATAGCATTAAGCCCGGCTCTCAGTCTACACGAGTATGTGGACGATCCCAAACGACTCACCTTGCATACATGTATCCTAGGTAAGCTCTGGGGAACATCAAGTTACCCGAACCAATGGCCGGGGACAGGGGGTATTTGCGAGATGAGGCGGGAGGAAATCCTCCTGTGGAGTCAAGATGAAGCCAACATTGGGGAAGTTGGGGAGATTGGTTGTGTCCATCCCAGCCACCTCCAATATCCCCAGACGAGCAATGTGCATAGGTCACCCGAGTCAAAGATTTTGACCTCAAACCTCCTCTTTTGCCATGGAAGATCTTTGCGGCTTATTCTTATCGGCCGCCATCCTTCTGACAATACGATGATCTTCTGCTTTTTGCATCCAAGTCCGAAGTCCCCAAGTGTGACTCGAGAAAAGACCATTTGTGGAGAGTGTCGATCCCCCTCTGAGCATGCTTTTAGACGAGAGATAGCCTAAAGGTCAGTCCATTAGCCTTCGCGATAACAGCATCGAAAGGAGAGGATGCAACGTAATAAGCATATTCATCAATTAATCCTACCCTACCTTATCCGAGCTGGCTGCCTCCTCCCATCCATCATGAGATTTGGAGACTCCCCGCGCGGAATGCACAAACCACCCTCCCATAGCGGAAATGCCGGCTCATTCGTGGAACTCAAATTATCCGGTCATCACTGCTAGGGGATGCCACATCGAATGCTACCCCAGGAAGCTAGCTGTGCAAATCCACCGAAGTAGCTTTCTACTCTCCCATCCAAAACACGGGATGGTCATCCATATTGCCGGTGCCAAGGCTCCGCGTGAAGTCATGTAGTACGGATCTATATCCTCCCCCAGGCTGTGTGCCAGAGAGTAATTGGAGGACGGAAAACGTTGCTCTTGTCCCGTGGCTGCCTAGGTATCCAATGTATATGTTCACACCATGACGGTCGCACGGTGACCGTGCAGAGATGTACACAGCCGCGCACCCTCGATAGGCGAGCTCTCGCTTTGGTAGATGCAGGGCGTGGAGGGAATAAATGTTCACACCAATCAGACAAGCTAGGGCGATGGTAATGGGCAGCATTAGGACTCGAACGATCTCCTTCTCGGGGCCGGCCAAGGGAAATATGCTCATAAGCTTGTAGGTAGAGCCAGTTATCACCCTATGACCGGGGGCCGGTTTGGGGTAACGTGCGGATCTGGGGTCCCCGGGATATGTTGATTGGTGGTGTAGGAGTAACACCGAGAGAGGAGCGTGGTCTTGTATATCTGCTGCAAAAGAGTGTCTCTCTTGTCCCTTGTCTAGGCGCAGGTTACCCCTACTTATGAGTCTCCCCCTTCCCACCCTCCGCCGGTGTTGCTGCTGCTGCTACTCAACCCATCTGGCAACACACCAATTGCCCCATACTCACACGGAATAGCTCTTCATTGTTCAGCTTGCTCGAGAGCCTGTAGCTTTTCACCATGGGCGCGATCGTCAAGATCCTGCGGACCGTCATCCGCAATGATGCGATGAAGGAGGACCCAGATGAAATCTACGGATGGAGGGTCTTCGCGCTCGTGTTTGCCGCCTGCTTCGGAGGCATGCTCTTTGGTTGGGACACCGGTGCCATCAGCGGCGTCCTCCAAATGAAGGCAACCCAGGAGAAGTTTGGCTATGCGGACTGGTCCAAGTCTGACCGGTCGCTGATGGAGCAGAACATTGTGTCGACTCTTCAGGCTGGGTGCTTCCTCGGCTGCATCATTACCGGCTTCCTGGCTGACAGATTCGGTCGCCGCCTTTGTCTCATGGCTGCTGGCTCTCTCACGGTCGTTGGTGTTGTTTTCCAGACTGCCTCGGCTGCCAATGGCACCATCGGTGTCATGTATACTGGACGCTTCATTGCTGGTGTTGGTGTTGGCTCTGCTTCCACTCTCACACCTCTCTATGTCTCCGAATGTGCGCCCCGAGCCATTCGTGGTGCTTTGACTGGTAGGTTTTGTGATTTTACATGGGTGAATTTTCTAGTACAAGAAGAATGGACCTAATTCAATCAACAGCTTTCTATCAGCTATTCAATGTTACTGGTATCATGATCTCGTTTTGGTGAGTACCTCCCCTCAAACTTACTGTTTCATAGATGTAATAGAATCTGACAACTAGAATGATAGGATTAACTACGGTTGTCTTTTGCATGTATCCGCACCAGCTGTCTATATTGTTCCTTTGATCCTGCAAGCGACTCCTGCGCTGTAAGTCTCCCTGATCCCCGTCCTCAGTTGCCACCACTAACCTTTCCCAGTCTTCTTATCCTCGGAATGTTTCTGTCTCCTGAAAGGTATTATCTTATTTCTAGAAAAGAAAACCACGGCGAAGTGAACGCAAGCTAACTTCAAGCAGCCCTCGCTGGTGTGCACGCAAGGACGATTGGGAGAAAGCAGAGTCCATTCTTGTTCGCCTACGCGGGTAAGCTTGTTCGGATCCCTCTGTTTCGAAGACAAATAAAACTGACCTTGCTTCCAACAGAATGCCAAGTGATTCAGAATACGTTCGAAACGAAATCAGGGAGATGTCGGATCAGCTCGAGACCGAAAGGCGCCTGACTGGAGACGCTGGCGCAAAGGTGCTGTTCAAGGAGATGACGACCATCCCAGCCAACCGAAAGCGAACTTTGATCTCGGTTGCTCTGATGATCTGCCAGCAAATGACCGGTGTCAACTCTATTGTGAGTACAATAATCAAATATTCATGGTGTGGCTTGGTGTAGAGAAGGGGGCAATATCGAAACTGTTGACTGTGAAGCTCTGACTAACAAAATATGCTACGATATAGAACTACTACGCCCCTCAGATTTTTACCAACCTTGGAATGACTGGCACGGACAGCTCCCTCTTCGCTACGGGAGTCTACGGTGTCGTCAAGGTAGCAGGCTGCGCGGTCTTCCTCATCTTCATTGCCGACTCTCTCGGCCGCCGCCGAAGTCTCATCTGGACCAGTGCTGCTCAGGGTCTCGTCATGTACCTCATTGGTATCTACGGCCGAGTTGAGCCTCCTGTGGTAGGCAAGCCCGTCTCCGCCTTCGGTTACGTGGCCATTACCTGTATCTACCTCTGGGCAGCGTAAGTTTTCGGAACAATCTGTCACTCTATTCGCTCCTTCTCTGACAGGCGAAATCTAGGCTGTTCCAATTCGGTTGGGGACCAGTGTGCTGGATTCTCATTTCTGAGATTCCTACCGCTCGACTTCGAGCTCCCAACGTCGCCCTCGGTGCTGCCACTCAGTGGCTGTTCAATTTCGTCATTGCCAGAAGTATGTTGCCCAACAGAATATTTCAAACTACCGTCACAGAATCTAATCATCGTCAATAGCTGTTCTCACTATGCAAAATACCATGGGCACTGCCGGGTACGGTATGTTCTTCATGTTCGGAAGCTTCGATTTCATCATGGGCACATTCGTCTACTTCTTCGTCCCCGAGACCAAGGGTCTCACCCTCGAGAAGATGGACGAGCTGTTCGGCGTGCCGGAGCAGACCACCAAGAGACTGGACGAGGAGCCCGAGGTGGGACGGATTGAGGACAACCGCGTCGAGACGATCGAGGAGGATGGACCGAAGAAGAAGTAAGGAACGACATGTTGGCTCCGTTGGGGTTGGATTCCCTCCTGACTCTCTGTTTGGTTATTGGGGTTGTACATCCACGTGTTCGAGGGTCTACATGGCTTCGGTGAAAAACGACGCAGGCTTTTTTGTGTGGGCTATAACAGTTATGATACCAGAAAGTTATTGTTTGGCCATGTAGCAAGTTGGTAGAAACATGCCATTCAATATGATTATCAGTCCAGTGATCTCACTCTCACCAGGCTGCTTACCTAGGACATAGCACGCGGTATCTCATTGTCACTTGGGAATATATGCTTTTCACAATTGAGACATCTTCTTTACCTTAACCAATCAAAATTTAGTAAGGCGTTATAAGTACCTAATGTACCTAAGTATCCCCAAGAAATCTTTGTTTTCAAGGTAGGTAGGTAGAAACATGAAGAAAGTTGAACAATACACAAGATGCCTACATACCTAGGGTAGCAAGTGGTGAGATTGAATTCGAGACGCTCAACCATTGTCTGCGATTAGTATTATCGGATTATTGAGTGTTGATAATAAATATTTTCTAGAGATTGTCCATTGATATCATTTAATATAAGGTACCGAAGTATTCTAATATTCGTTGAAGGTGATCACCCTTCATTTTGATGTCTCCATTTTTTTGTCACCTAGTTGGGCAGGTAGGTGGGCCTCAAGTGTAAGTTGTGATAAAAGGGTAGATCTCGCTTGGGGGGGGAAAATATGTACAATGCATGGAAGGAACCCTGCAATAACGGCGCCTGGCAGTCCAAACGGCCTGCACCAGCCACTTTTACGGCGCCTCATCCGCATGTACAGGGGTTGAGCAGGCCTGGAGCCGAAGAGGCTAGGGGGGTTTCAGAGGGGGTTCACACGAGCGGTCACTAAAATCAGAGCAAATGTGGGGGCATCCTTGTGGCTTGGCACTGCGACTAATCACCGACTTAATCCATCGAGATGCTGGCGAGCTGTCCCCTTATTGACTGGAGTTGAAGCTAGCTACACCCAGCACTCTGCAAATCCAGACTGTCGTGGACGTTGGGAACTGGATAACCGACTTGCGCCGGCCGACCGACGACGACGACTCGAGCACGAAAGTATTCCCGCCTCGGCAGCCAAGCTCGCAAACCAGCCGCCTCCTTGGACGAGCCATGAGCTCAGCTCGACGACTACATCGATCGTAGTGGACAATGCTCAACAACCAACAAACCTAGAATGAGCTTAGATCCTCTGCTCCCTATCGCTCCTGCGAGGGTGAAGGCCCTGCTACTGCCCATCAGCCAGATTACTTCCACCAGATTCGACTCCTTTGTCTCCCGGCTAGAGAGCGAACATGTCGTCCACCTCAGGGACATCAGCGCCGATGGGCGGCCGCATCGAAGTAGGCGCTCACTACACCAAGACGTGAATGGCGATCCGGATACTGACCTTTTCCTGTATCAGACATGTTTTCGCCGTTGGCCTACCCAGACGGCGCAATGATTTACGACCTCATCACCCACGTACCGCCCCCTTCCCACCTTGCCCTCACGCCTTTCGATCTATACCGCGAGCCAATGGCTGTTGTTGCGCTGGCTGATGGGCGGGAGATGGGGGAGGTATCCTTCAGCAAGCGGAACTCTGCGAACGGCACCGGGACAACGGTCACGGAGAAGAATATTCGATCTCTCTACCAAGACCTGGAGGATCTGCGTGACCGATTTCCGAAAGCGCTCGTCCACCAGGTCTTGATATTCGACTATGTGTCCGATGCCAGCAACACTGTACCTCTACCAGAGGGCGTATTCGGTATCCCTCCTGTCGAGAAGAGCAAGAGGACGACCATCAAGACCGTCATGTGCGACATATCTTCGCAATTGTTGGCAGAGATGACTACGCTGGCCAAGTCTTTTGAGGCTATGACCACGATCGAATCGCCTGTTCATTACTCGGGAACTGCGCATGTGAACGGCGATTGGTCAGCCGGGGAGGGCGAACATCACGAATTCGACAGAAGGAACTCTGGTACCCCCACGCTCCAATCCAACGGTCGGACTGCATCAGAGAGCGCGGCGGACCGAGCCCATGCTCGCATGTCCATGCCGCCGGTGTCGACTCGACCAACGATGAATCACAGCTCTTCAAGCCCGGGTATTGGCGGGTCTCCTATTTCGCAAGCCGGGCACTCTGGGTGGCCTGGTACCCCAGACTTGGGGCGGGACGCACCCGGCACTCCCCAGACCCATTCTCGCTCAGAAAGTACACATAGCTCTCGCGACCAGTCCCGTGACCGAGTGTCCGTCCAGGGATTCGGCCCTGGCGGCCTGAACGATCGATGGAGGCTGAAAGGCAAAGGCAGGTCCACAGTCATCCTGGGTTCCATGTACCTCCAAGCCGGTCGGTGGAACGACTCATTAAGAGAACTGTCAGAAGCTGCTGTTGGAACAAGGTCGATTAACGATCACATTTGGCTTGGAAAAGCACTGGAGTTGATCGTTATCAACCTTTTCCTTCTTGGCTGGTCTGGTTTAGAATTTGCCATACCATCTGTGTGTATGCCGCCTCCGGAAGAGCGCAACAGGCCATTGTACACGGTAATAGAGACGTTGACCGACTTGCCTGGCCAACCCAAACGGCTGAGGATACTCCAGCTCATTTTGGGGGATCTCCTGGATCGAATTATGAACTTGTACTCGAGGAAGCGGGCCGATGTGGAAAGGCTCCCCAAGCTGGCATATTCGGAAACCACAATACGATTCTCGAAGATCCTTACGATTATGCACTTATGCAACGGAAGCTTGAACCAGCAGGCTCTCGATATGATTGTTACTGGCAGGCTACCAGAAAAAGAACTGACGACATCTCCCCGGATCCACATTGTACCATCACGACAACACATTGTAAATATCTTGATGGATGCTTTCCCGGCATCACATGCATATGCTGCAGAACTTCTCACCACAACCGACCGAGCCTCGATCTTGAGTGCCATAGCTACGATATTGGGGACGCTAGGTTTCCATCGGAAGAAAGCAATGGTAACTCGCGAGCTTGTCTCTGTTCTCATAAGTGGTCTTGTGGAGGCGCGGACGAGGGGCGCAGCCGAGGCAGGTATTCACCCAGCCGCAGGTTTAATATCGCATACGGCGGCAGGAAATCAGAATAGCGGAACTGCACTGGACCTTGGTGAGGGGGATATCGAACAGGGCATCGAAGCTTTCCTGGATATGCTCTGCAAATCATACGCCGTGATCGGATTCGAAAGGTCGCCCAGCAATTCGGAAGATTCGACCGAGACTGGTCCCGATACAGACGAGGCCATTATTGCCAGGATACAGAAGCAAGCTTCGACGAGGTTTTACGGCTTCGAGGGTATCAAAATGAACATTCTACGCGCCTGCATCAACTTCTCAGAGGCGTTGCCGGACCTTAATGGAGTCCTAAGATATTCTGGCGATTTGCTCCGTACCGCAGGCGCTGGCACAGCTCCTGGTCCTCGCAGGGAAGACATATCACCAATGATCTTTGCTGAGGAGCAAGCTCGCCTTGTGACTAATATTGCCAGAACCTCAAGTCTTGCGCAGAGACTCAACTTGAACTCTCTGGCAGCTGAATACTGGGACGAGTTTCTTGTTCGCGGTATCAAGCTGGAGCCTCTGCCTCCCGATCGGATACCAATTCCACACGCTCACAGCGTCCTGCCTGGGTCGACTGTGGGGCGTACATCGCAAGACGTTGACCCCTTCATCTATAACCCCTTTTTCAAGAAGCCAAGCGAAGTTGTCCAGCAATTCCTCGTAGCGGGAGAGCTTGCGACTTTCAGAATCACTCTGCAGAATCCTTATGATATTGAGGTAGACCTAGAAAGTATCCGTCTCGAGACTACTGGTGTCGACTTTGAGTCTATCCCGGAGGCGGCAAGACTGGGCTCTAACAGAACCCAGGTTCTGAGGCTCAGAGGTCGACCTCTACAGGACGGTGATATCAAAGTGACGGGAGCTCTTATCAAGGTGCGAGGTTGTCGAGAGAGGAGATTTCCCATTTTCTCGCAACCGTGGCGTCCGGTGCGAGATAACAAAATCAAAGTAAAGGGAATCGCTGCTCTGGAGGGCGGGGAGGATGTCTGCCTGCGCAATTCCGCCCCTCCTGTCCCCGATGACCTGGACCTCACAGCCATCCCGTCACAGCCCGTCTTGACCGTCAAATCCATGACTTTGCCGCAGGCATCAGTCATGGTTTTGGAAGGAGAGCGCCGAATCTTCTCGGTGACTTTGCAAAACGAGTCACCCACCCCGGTGGATTTCGTGTTGTTTTCATTCCAGGATTCCACGCAAGGTCCTCTTCAAAATGCACTCAATAATCGGGATACAATGCCCACCGAGATGTATGAATATGAATGGATCTTGATGAAGAAACAGGCGTTGCGGCTACCAAAGAAGAATCAGGAGCGTCAAATTCCAGCAGGTGGCGAAGCAACATATGAGTTTGAGATTCTCGGCAAGCCTGGTTTGACCCATGCCACAATTCAGGTGGACTATACGAATCTAGGCAAGCCGCAGGATGAAGTTACGGAGCAGTTTTTCACCAGGCAGGTGAGCGTGGATCTGACAGTGACCGTGAACGCCAGCATCGAAATGTCGCGATTGGACGTTCTCCCAATAGAAGGTGATATTCCTCAAGCGATCAAGGATAGGCACAACGACTCGGATTCCTTGGATCTCAAAGACTATTGCTTGCTATCTATGGATCTACGAAATGCCTGGCCAAGCCATATCAATGTACATATCGAGACTGAAGATGGCATGGTGCTTGATGACAACATCCTACCTGGTAACATCAACCGCATCGTTCTGCCCGTCAAGCGGGTATATCTGGAAGACCCCCATGCTTCTATTCCCAGCCTTAATCCCGGGCGGGATAGACAGTTTGTCGTCAGCAGGATTGCGCCCGAGATCGAGCGAATAAACCGAGAGGCCTTTTGGTATCGCGAGAAGCTTATGGAGCGCCTCAAGGGGACATGGAAGACAACATCGGGGCAGAAGCGGCACGGAACCCTTGAGCTCCGGACCCTACGGCTGACACCTCGAATGATTGATGTCGTCAGGTTGGAGGACATTGGAATCGATATCTCGGTGGAAGACGAGGATGGGGCCAATGGCGACACCAACGTTGGTTATGTTGATGAGTTTATGCAGGCTAGAGTCAAGCTCACCAACCGATCGAGCAAGCCAATCACGTCTGTCATTAGACTGCTACCAGCACTCTGTCACCGGCCGCTGGGCATCGCTCTTGATTTTACCCGGAAGTTTGCCTGGAACGGCTCCCTCCAGCAACTATTGCCTAGGATCGAGGCTAACTCGACTATTGATTTCGTCATTGGCGTCACAGCACTGTGCAGGGGCGAGTTTGAGCTCTCAGCGACGGCCGAAGAAGTGGTGGTGCATCAGGAGGAGGGAGAGAAGGCCTTGCAACGAAAGAAATCTGATACCCAAAAGATGTTGGACGCAGCGCTTGGGGCGAAGGAGCGGCGGGTGTGGCATTCACGGCATCCGTATATTTTACTGGTGAGGGACAGGGACTGAATGATGGGTGGATATGATTCTATCTGCACTTAGCGAGGTGGAACATGATATGTAGAAGTAGAGGAAATACCACGAGCATACACAACAGACTGCTCCATCTATCACTGATACCCTGAGGGATTGTGTGTTAGCGTTGGCGATGATCCCGATATCGCCTCACGGGCTGGAGGCTGGATGGATGGAGGCTCCCGGCTTATTAGCGCGAAACTCAATCACGACTGCTAAAATCTATGGGTACATTCTAGATCTGTCTGATACGGCAAAAGGGCCACTGCGACATGCATCTCACAAGTATCCTGACTCATTGTGGCAGGTCAGTAGCCTCCGGACCAATCACAGGCGCGCCGGCAACAAAGTCCAAGACCATCTCTTAGTCGAGTTGATTTTTCTCATCGCCTCTCCCGTTGTTCGAGGCGCTGTTAGTAAGTAGCGGCTTTTCGCGGCAATCCGGGGCTATCTCGTCGTTCGGCCGCGAAAAAGTCCCGCCTTGCTCTGCTCGGCCCCAGAAAATTATCATTTCGAGGGTGTGAAGTGATTCAGTCATTCATTCATTCAATCATTCGTTCGTTCGTTCACAACCGCCTTTTGGGCTTCTTCTCACAGTCTCTGAGAGCAATTGCTTTCACTGAAGAGCTCACCTGCTCACTTAAATCGTCTTCTTCAGACACACCAGAGACATAAAAAATAGAGCAAACGGAGAAGCCATGGAGAATGGCGACCCGCAACCTGCTCGCCGGTCCCGCATCCTCTTCCTAGATGCCTACGACTCCTTCACCAACAACATTGTCTCCCTCCTCACAGAGCTCCTCAATGTCCAGGTCTGCGTCCGGCGGATGGATCTGTCCCCCTTCCCGCCTGAGCGGGGGCCCTCGTGGACGCGGGAGGAGCTCGTCGACCGCCTGAGCGGGTTCGACGCCGTGGTCTGCGGCCCGGGCCCCGGGTCGCCGCTCAACCCGGACGACGTGGGCGCCTTCAGGACGCTCTGGGACCTGGCTTCGGCCGAGGCGGTGCCCGTCCTGGGCGTCTGCCTGGGGTTCCAGAGCCTGGTGTGCCACTCTGGCGGGGAGATTAGGAAGCTGAGGAGGGGCTTGCATGGGATGGTGAGGGACATCGAGTATGAGGGCCGGGACATCTTCAGCGGGGTGCGGCCCTTCAAGGCGACGCTGTATCATAGTCTGTGTGCGGATCTTGGGCAGGATGCTGTTCCTGCGTCGGAGTGGCCGCTGCGGCAGTATAAGCCTTTCCCAGGTGCGCCGGATCTGATACCGCTGGCTTGGTCGAGGGGGCATGTGGACGAGGGAGAGGATGAGCGCATCCTCATGGCGGTTAAGCATGCTCGGAGACCGTTCTGGGGGCTGCAGTACCACCCAGAGTCTATCTGCACCCACCCCGAAGCGCACGACGTACTGAGAAACTGGTGGGCCGAGGCCCAGAGATGGAATGCCGTGTCCAGGATGAGGCCATTGCACCCTCTCGCAGAATCGGAATCCGGCGAGGTGGAAACTCCAACGCATACGGATCAGTACAACAAACTCAGTCAGAAGTATGGACAGATTTCCTATGAGCTCTTCGATACCACACACGCGGGTCCTCAGTCCTACTCCTTCGTCAAATTGAATATCCCGCAAGACCTCACGGCAGTGGAAGTGGCAGAAGCATTGGGCGAAGGCAAGGACGATACCATCGTCCTCGATTCATCTAGTGCCTCCAAGGGCGACCCTCTTGCCCTATACAGCATCATCGCACTCGAGGCCGACAAGGCGCCGCGCCTCAAACACCGAGCTGGCGAGAGGTTTGTCACACTCTCCTCGCCGCCCCAGCAGCCGGGTCTTCCGGCGCAAGAAGAAAGAATCGGCTACCTTGACTCCGCGCCCGGAGAGTTTAGCCCGTGGCAGGTTTTCTCCAAGTTTTGGTCCGAGCGGAGACTGGATGTCTCAAGTCTGCCGGCGGGCCTTCCCGATGTCTTCAAAGGGGGTCTCATTGGATACGTCTCATATGAATCAGGTCTGGACGCCCTCTCTCCCGGCGTTCTTCCCACGGAGAGAGGCCACCGCCGTCCTGATATCTGCCTTGCATGGGTTACAAAGAGCGTCGTACTCGATCATCGAGCAAATGCGGCATACATCCAGACCATTAGCAACGATCCAAGCGCTGGCCAAGACTACTGCAAAGTGGTGGCTGACAAGTTGCGCAACGCACCCTGCATGAGCAACCAAGGGGTGTATAGCCAGGCGCACAGAAGCGGAGTTGACCAATGGCAACAGTGCCCAGGAGAGGTCTTCCAGTACCAGCTGCCAAACGCCGCCACCTACCAGGACAAAGTCCGCAGGTGCCAGGACTCCATCAAGGAGGGGAACTCGTACGAGCTCTGCCTGACAGATCAAACATTCATCACCCGCACTCGAGGCGACGACGTGCCGCCTCACGTCAACACCAAGGGCGCTGCCTTGAACCGCGCCACGCCATGGGACATCTTCAAGCGGCTCCGATCTCGCCAGCCAGCGCCGTTCGGGTCGTTTGTCAAACTTGGCGGCGCGACCCTGATCAGCAGCTCCCCGGAACGGTTCCTGCAGCATACCTCGGAGGGATTGTGCGCCATGCGCCCGATGAAGGGGACGGTGCGCAAGTCCGACCAGGTGTCGACCCTGTCCCAGGCAGAGGAGATCCTCCACATCCCGAAGGAGGAAGCAGAGAACCTCATGATCGTCGACTTGGTCCGCCATGACCTCCACGGCATCTGCGGCGCGGGCAAGGTCACGGTCCCCGAGCTGCTGAAAGTAGAGGAGTACGCCACCGTCTTCCAGATGGTCACCAACGTTCAGGGCCAGCTCAACGCCGAGCGCGAGGCGGCCAAACACCGACGAAAGTCCGACTTCAATGGATTAGACGTCCTCTCCTCCGTGCTCCCGCCCGGCAGCATGACCGGCGCGCCCAAGAAGCGCAGCTGCGAGATCCTGTACGGCCTCGAGAAGGGCATCGAGCGCAGCCTGTACTCCGGGGTCGTCGGCTACATGGACGCGGCCGGCAAGGGGGACTGGAGCGTCACCATCAGGGCCATGTTCAGGTGGGACGACGAGCTGGCGCCGCCGGCCGAGGGCGAGGCGGAGAAGAGGGAGGTGTGGCACATTGGCGCCGGCGGCGCAGTCACCATCCTGAGCACGCCCGAGGGGGAGCACGACGAGATGGTGACCAAGCTCACGGGGCCGCTGGGGATTTGGAAGGCAATGGAATAGAGGGAAACGGCTACGGGCGCGCGGGTGGGTTATAGAAACAACATGATACTTCAACGTATGCATATCTGGAGTTTTTAATTTTGGGCTGGGATTGGGATTTTCAACAGCATTAGAGGGATAGCGCAAAGCGAGGGAAGAGGGCAGGAAATAACAGGCGAATTAAAGTAACGGAACACAATATCCATGATGTGAATATCCTTCACGTAGGGAGAGATGCAATTGCGCTCATCGTGTGAGCACGTGTTTCGGTTCCCAGGTCCTTTTATGTCCCAAGATGATCAATTGAGTGCGCTGAATGCTCCAAGCCGTAGAAAATAAAACTCCCTCCAGTAGCCTGTACAAAAATGCGTCGATACAAGGTGTTGCCACACAGTGTGTTGCCTGAATAATCTGTCTCCTCCGCAGGCGAAATATCTCCCCCCCACCCCCTCAATCAAGACTGCATACGATCTTCCCCGTCTCAGAATCCGCTTAGAATTCCTGCTCCTCATGGAAGAACATGCTGAAGCTGATGATGGTTCCGTAAATCAATAGACCACCGACGATAGACATGATCATGGCCTCGACTCGGATGAGGTCGGCGTGCGCCAGGACTATGGGCAGGGCTGGGAATAACAAAGTTAGCATTATGCGCGCATTATCAGCGAGGAGGAGAGATGAACGTACCCATTCCCATCACGACGAAGAAGCCTGTGAAGAAGCGACCGAGGTCGAGGACGGCGGCGCCGGAGCTCTCGACAAAGTCATCGGGGTTTGCGCATCGGCTGCAGATCCAGTTGGGGATCGGGGCGATAACGTATGTTCCGACCACGAGGAGCGGGTAGTACACCTTGAACAAGGCGCAGGAGAGGATGACGAGGAGGAAGCCCACTGCCAGGACGAAGGACAGGGCAATGATGGTCTTGAGGCCGGCGGCTGGCATGATGGGCGGCTGGTCTGACACTGGATGCACACCCGTGGAGGGAAGGAGCTGCGGGATCTGGAGGAGCGCTTCTCAAGAGAAGATGGGACGGTGGTGTGTAGGTGTGCGAGATAGCGGAGGGCGTCGGGTTCGGTTTCGTTGGGTGTAGAGCCGTCGGTCGTGGCGGTCGTTGCGTCAGGCTGGTGCTGGAGGATGAAGAAGCTCGCGAGCTGTGGCCTCGCCTCATCCACTCTCGCAACAGGCAGCGTCACCAATGCCGCATGACACCATGCTGCGGCTGGGCGCCCCGGCCGGAATAGCAGTTGTTCCGGCGCTGGCGAAAGCAGCAGGCGGTGAGGATTTGAGCTCAGACCCCTGGCGGCGTCGGCGAATAGGGACCCCTGTAATAGAGGACAGCCTTCGCCTAAGAAAAAAACTCGAGATTTCCGCTAGGAAAACCAGCCCCACTGTAAAATCATCTTGCCTGGTCCCGAACTTTTTTTTACATCTACCTTCCAGCCTGTCTTCCCCATACTCAACAGCAGTACAATAATTGAGAAGATTGCTGCTCCTCTTTCCGGGAGCTACCAGAAGTCGCAATGGCTTCGGACGAGATTATCTGGCAGATTATCAACCAGCAGTTCTGCGCATTCAAGTTAAAGTAGGTTTCTAGTACCAATTGGCCGATACGAGGCGATAGCAAAAGGTTTCTGATAGCAAGGCTGACAATCACAAACAGAACGGAGAAGAACCAAAACTTCTGCCGCAATGAGTACAACGTTACTGGGCTGTGCAATCGCCAGTCCTGCCCCCTCGCCAACTCTCGCTACGCAACCGTCCGCCAGCACCCTACCAAGCAGACGCTGTACCTCTACATCAAGACGGTGGAGCGAGCCCACCTGCCCTCCAAGATGTGGGAGAAGATCAAGCTGTCCAACAACTACAACAAGGCGCTCGAGCAGATTGACGAGAAGCTCATCTACTGGCCCAAGTTCATGCTGCACAAGTGCAAGCAGCGCCTGACCCGCCTGACGCAGGTCAACATCCGCATGCGACGCATCGCCGCCGAGGAGGAGCGCCTGGGGGAGAAGCTCGTGCCCAAGCTGGCGCCCAAGATCAGGAACCGCGAGCGCGCCAGAGAGCGCAAGGCCGAGGCGGCTGCCAAGCTGGAGAAGACCATTGAGAGAGAGCTTCTGGAGCGTCTGAGGCAGGGTGCATACGGCGATCAGCCGCTCAACGTCAGCGAGGACATCTGGAAGAAGGTCCTCAACGCCATGGAGCGTGATGGCGAGGGCATGAGGGACGAGGACATGGACGACGGCGAGGAAGAGGATGAGGAGCTCAACAGCGAGGAGGAGGACGACCTCGAGAAGGAGGTCCAGTACGTCTCTGACATTGACGAGAGCGAGGAGGAGCTCGAGGACCTCCAGGACTGGCTCGAGAGCGAGGCGGAGGATGAGGAAGAAGACGACGAGAGCGATGAGTCCGAGACTGAGAAGTCCAAGGCTGGTCTTAAGCGCAAGCGTGGCCGCGCGATCAAGATGAAGAACAAGAAGCCCCGACAAGAGAAGCAGAAGGTCGCTTTGACCAACGAACTCGAATGGTAAAAATGGTGTTGTTTGGCGTAAACCGGTTTGGGATAGTGTGTATATACGCATCTGTTTTAATGTCTGGGGTGCAATCACAAGTGCAGTTTGAGAAGCGAAATTGATACCATATGAAATCAGCTGTTACAACTGGGGGCCCGATTTGGTACAGACAGGGAAGTCAACAAAAAACTGGAGGCTAGCGGGAGCCGTAGAAGGGCCAATTCTTTCAAAGTGTTAAGTCAGCATTATCGTTCATTTCATGCCCAACCTTTTCTGAAACCAGGCTGTGACAATTGGCCGTTGTGCTTTCATGCGACAGGGGAGAGATATGACTTTTATAACCTTGGTCTTTCGGGAGAGCTCTTCCAATGGGAGAATTTCTGCTCTGGAGATTTGAAGAAAAGCGACAAAAGAAGATCGTCAGCTCAGCAACATAGTTCGAAAAATTGGCATATATTACTCTCCAGGTGTTGTGATATTTGGCATGAACTATCAGCCGCCGCACCGCAAGATCAGAGAGAAGGCTCCACATGCCACCTGAAGCCGCAGCTTAACTCGAACCCCACGTCACCGACAAGGAGCTCCATAGGCCAGTGCATTTACCACAGCCTAGCAGCCAGTCCTCTCTCCGCCTCCAAAGCTGAGCAGTCCTACCTTTGCTGCCTTCTCACCACACACCACACACCACCCACCGCTCAAGCCTCAACCTTGAACCGCTCTCAATCCGCCCACTGCCTGTCATAATCACTCAGGCGAAGACCGCCTCTCGATTGCAGCAACTCACATCCCGACAACCGGTCTGAACACCATCACGAGCCCCTCCCCTTTCTCTCCAACCTCCCACCACCACAGAGAAAGCAAAACCCACAACCCTCCTCCCACCAAGGAACCAAACTCACCACCCAAGGCCGCCGGGCCAGGAGAAGAACAGAAAAATCACCCGCCCACCATGTCCTCCTGGTACTCCAACCTCATCACCAAGACCTCGTCCCAAATCTCCAGCTTCCGCGCCAACATCTCCTCCTCCGAGAACGACGGCGACACCGAGGACGACACCCACGTCTGCCGCGTCCTCCGCAGCTACTACACCGAGAAGGGGCGGCCCTTCCCCGGCTGGCTGCCCCTCGACCCCAAGGCACCCCTCCAGGCGGCCCCCATCCAGCCCCTCCTCGCCCACGGCTCCAGCCAGCAGCAGCAGGGGAACCGACCCCTCCCCGGCGGAGGAGGAGGCGGGCAGCCCGGCCTGAGTTCGCTGTGGGATAACGGCGCTTCCCAGCAGCAGCAGGCACCCGCGCCGCCTGCGAGTCTGCGTGTCGGTAGGCAGCCGCCAGGAGGGGGAGCAGCAGTAGGCGGGCTTCACCGTGGCGGCGCGGGGAGGCCTGGGGGTGCCGATACCAGGGCTGGGAGCTACTCGGGGCAGGGACCGCCGCCGGCTGCGGGAGGCGCCTCTGCGCAGGATAGGCTGCGGCAGCGGCTGTGGGGGAACGGGGGGTCGAGGACTGTGAGTCCTGGCAGCACCGGACAGGCGTTCTCGCCGCCTGGGCAGGGCAACAACCCGTACCGAAGGTGAGGTGGCTCAAAAACGCATGGTCGGAGTTGTTGGTTAGGGACGGGGCTGTTCTAGAATAGGTTCAGCATAACCTCAGTGAATAGCTGGGGTGTGGCGAGAGTTGCATATGCAACGGTTTGGGAATGCTGGTGTTATTGGCGTTGAATAGGTCTTACATAGCATAGCATTTCTTTTCTTGGAAATTATCATTTCGAAATCTTATAAGTCAAGAGAGACCAGCAGCGAGAAGGAGAGAATATGAGATCACGCATTTAATTCGTGTACAAGTGTATAATTGCAAAACCCAGTCCACCAAGACTCCGACATTATAGTACCCTATCTTAATTCGAAACTATCACTGCAAAGACAATAAAGAAAAAAGAAGCGCGCCAAAGGTCATGATACATAAAACCAGAGCCATCTGGTTACAGGTTTAGGTCTATTACCTGGTAGGCATACCATCGCCATTCTCAGCCACAGTCGTCCTGGGCAGGACGTCAACCTGCTTGCTCAACAACTTCCGCAACTCAGGTGTGATGACCCTTGCGGCATCTTCTTTGCCCTTGCCCTTGCCCTTGTTGGGGGTCGCTGTCCTGCTGTCTTTGGTTCCGGAGTTCGAGCTGCCATTGGCATTGCTGGCTTCCGCCTCTGGTTTCCTAGGAGCGGGGAAGTTCTCCTTCTTGTCGACTGCTTCGACGAGCCTTTGGTATTTCCGGAAGAGGGTTTCGGCCCTAATCAGAGTTGATTCAAGGTCGATGGTGTTGGAAAGCTCGTTCACTAGATTTTTATGTTAGTCACATGTTCTAGGTGAGGCTAGGTGTTTCAGAAGGCAACATACCGTATTTTAGCACCTCGTCGAATGCCTGCAGGTGCGTCATGATCACATCTCTATGTTTCTCTAGGATGGCCAAAGCGATGAACAGGTGGAAATTGGCACTGTAATAGTCTGTCCAGAGCGCCTCCCACAGCCGAAGGACGTCCATCCATTCAAACTCGCGCTTGTACCAGACGAGGACCATGCGGAAGAAGAAGAAGAAGTTGGTGCTGTCGGCCTTCTCGAGGTGCTCCCAGAGCTTAGGGTCCATGAAGTGGACGAGCTGGTCGAGAGTCAGGAGCTGGCTGCGCATGCCGGACTGGTCGCGCAGGAAGTTGCGCTCCATCCGGTCCATAAACTTCTGGAACGCCCAGAATGCGATGGCGTCGTCCTGGACGACGGCGTAGATGGGGGCGAGGAGATCTGACATCCCCTGCACGTAGCCGAGGTCCTTGTTATACTCGTTGTACGTCAGAAGCATCTCCTTGAGCTGCTCTAGATGGACATTTGTGCCTACTTCGGCAAATGGGGAGCTTGGGTCAGGGTGGGGAGTATCCTCCCCGTGGAAGATGGGGACGTTCCGATCTGTTCTGTGGACATCCTTTTCTAGGTGGAAGTTAGCACACAGTGTCATGAATAGATTCTCTTTGAGATTTTTCTTACCGATGCGAGCTCGCTGCTCACGCCACCACTCGCCAGTTTCTCCGTCTCCGCCCTCTCCTTCGAGACGGTCCCACCATGAAAGCTTCAGTTTGTAGTATGAGTCCCTCAGAGAGGCGATCTGAGCTTTCCGCTCGTCTGTCGTGCCATACCAATCATAAACCCCCAGCAGGAAGAGCCAAGCCTCCTTACGAACTCCATCATTAGGGTCAAGCCCACCGTGGAAGATGCGCTCCTTGACCTCGTCGGTCGTAACAGACAGTCGACCAGTTTCTGGGTCGAAAAAGCCGTCCCACTCCTTCTGGGTCAGCGTCTTTCGTCTATCCTCTAATGAAAGGGAGCTGCCCTCTAAAAGTTCAAACTCTCCCACGTCGGTATCCTCAAGCTCCATTACATCGTGGGCCGTCCATGTTCGTTGCTTGCGGTCCTTCTCGCTCTGCTCAGCGATGCCCATAGCCCATCTCGCCAAGTAAATGCGAGCACTGTCAAATTCGTCTTGCAGCGTCTGGACCTCGGGTGTTTTCAGCAGTCTCCTGACCTGAGGAGGCAGATTAGGATTGTCCACAAAGTCTTGCGCCGCTCTCCTCGTAAACGTTGTGACCTTGCTGAACTGGTTCATTAGGTTCCACCCCGTCTCCTTGACGAACTTGACAAAAGGGTCCATTTGGGCGTCGTTGGAAGAACCGCCCCGGGCAGGTTCGTCCTTCTTCTTTATGGCGCTTGTAGTCAGTTTTTGGCCAAAGGCTTCCATGTCCTCCTTGCTTGGCTCGATCAGATAAATATTAGGCTCCGCGCCGGACCTCTCAACCTTGACGTATCGTCGCAGCCACCGGATAATCTCATCGCCTCCCCAGAACATCTGCCCAGTCTCGCCAAAGGGATCAAAGGTATCGCGGGCGAGCTTCTTCTTCTGCAGGATGGTGCTCTGGCATTCGTTGTCGTGGAAGAAGAGGGCGGGGAAGCTGTCGCCCCCCTTGGAATTGATGATGACGGATCCATACCACCATCCAAGGCTCGGCGGCCGGACTTGCAGAGAGTAGATTGCACTGACGGGGATGGCGAAGGAGTAGCCGCCGACGGAGCTACTGATTGCCGTCACAGTCGGGGGCGGAGGGACGAGATATTTCTGCTTCGGGGGACTATCGCCATCGCACAGGTCGACCTTGACGTAGATGCTTTCGGAGTCGCCCAGGGCAGACTCGGGGATCCATCCTAGTAATAAGTCGGCGGCGCCAATTGAGCTGCCTTCGTTGGTGGGATTGGACTCGCGTCGGGACCCCTTCTGCTGGAGAAGGGCGATGTATCCTGGAATATTATCTTTAGTCGAGGGTGTCGGATGGACGTAGACCTAGTGGACCATGTTAGTGGTGCTGGGGTTTCGGGAGCGAGGGCAAGGATGGATACAATATGGGATAAGACAGCGATAATGAAGGAGTAGCAGACATACCTTGCTCTTGGAAAACAGGAGCTTCACCCCTCTGCCGCTCTGCACATGGGTGATGGTCTCGTACTCGCCCTCCTCGTCGTCGCTCATGGCGTAGAAGCTGGCGGATGGGGATGAGGCGCGGGGCGGGGCATCTGGAGACTGTGAAGTCATCGTCTGGGCAGCTGTGGTGAGCTGGGCTGGGTCGATGCCGGCGGGCACCGGGTGTTTTGACGGAAATCAAAATGTCTGGCTTGGGAGGGAGGCCAGGCTGGTCAGGCACGCACTGGAGAGGACAGGCTTTGGATCTGGTCTTGTGAAGAAACGCGAACAAACAATGTCGGCATGGACGGTGCATGTGAGCAGTCGCTGTGGCGCATTCGGGATTAAGTGGGCAGTTGGTCTGGAGCTGCCCCTCCGCCACATTCGCCCCGATGCTCGAGGCCAGCGGCGGACATACGTAGCTCCAGTACGTAATAGAGCAGTCACTCTTCTTCTGCCTGCCTTGGAGCCTAGAGCTATACTTGATTGGAGATTGATACGTGCTTTAACTTTGCACCACTGAGGACAGCGGATCACTCTCCCGGTAGCCTTATTTGAATACGAGGCAAGAATGAATTCAATCTCTAGTAAACAATATGTATTGGGTGATTTTAATGCCCTTTTCTGTGCTACCACCCTGTGTCTCTCTCAGACAGGACATTTCCGTCATCTATGCGAATATCTTGGCTCTCGTACCCCGCCGCGCGGCAGATTGTGGCAATTGCGCGGATCCACGCACGGCCTCGTCGCCTTCTAAGTCTATCCTGTATCAACGCTCTAAACGACAAAACGCCTTGCTGCGGGACGCCCTGTTTAGTATCATATGAGTCACTTTCAATACAAGCTGAAAACACGAAAAGAATAGAAAAGAAAGAAGAAGAAGAAAGACCGAAAAATTAGAGTGTCGGCCAGCCATGTATAGGTAGAGATGCTGTAAGTTACGTAGCCTACGAACTACCTACCTAGAAAATAATATTCAGTTACTTGTTCTATTCTCCCGATTATTAGTTGCGCGTAGGAACTTGGTCAGTGTAAAAGGTAAGATCAGCGATCGAAATGGCACATCCATTGATTCTTTTGAGAAAACATGCTTTTTTATCTCGATTGGGTGGGCAGCAAGCAGGATGACCTCGTTTGACAGATCATATGAGCCACATCATTCAACACCAACCAGTTAAACCAGGGCGATCACAGTTCATCCCATCTTTGTGCACCCCCACTATCGTTAGCCACATACAGTTATCGTTCACTATACCTCACTACCACACCGGGTATGTGTTTTGGAGAATATCTTGAGGGAAAAGATATCTATTCCAAATCTTAACTTTAAAAAAAGAAAAAGAAAAGGAAAAAAAAATTGAGCGAATAGAGCGATCAAAGGCCGTTCAGTAAACGTGGGCAGACCAGAAATTTCAAGATGTAAGACGAAGGGAAACCTCAAACTCATGGAATACGACGCTCTGATACCGCGTGCTTCGCTTGTAATGCTAAGCTGCTTTCTCTCCTCAATTTCGATGATAAATTATTAGCCTTGCGTTTCGTCAAACTCCCTTCCATGTTGCCTCCATAAATATTCCATGCAACCTCCCCCCATGTAGTGAACCGCTCCATTCGACCAGTCTGCACTGATATGACCAGCTGTGAAAACCGGTGAGTGAGAGATTCCCATTCGAATTTTAGTGAGAATGGCTCCTTTCTTGCCCTTCATTGCGCTGCCCCTTCTCTCCTTTGGTTCTGCTGATAGATCTCGACCCCTTCCGCCGCAACCACAGAAAGCTAGACGCACAAGCCTCAATATACGTCAGAACAGTTCCCAGGTAAGCTACTCTAGAACTTCTTTCGCAACTTCCACCCCGCCGCAGAAACCCTGGCAGTCACGTAGCAGGCCAAGGCCACGACATACGCAGCCGCCGAAAAGAGGATGAGCCCAATCCACCCTGCCCTCCCCTCAAACCCCAGCAGCGCACCGGCAATAGGCACGCTCGTCAGGGTGCCAAAGCTCGCGATCATGTTCGCCGTGGTCACGTACCGCCCGTAGTTGCGGGACTCGCAGAACTGCCCTATGCATACGGGGATCAGCCCGAGGTTGCTACCGCTCGCGAACCCGAAGACGACGCAGAAGACGATGAGGAGCGGTTTCGAGTCGCCCGCCGGCAGCCAGAGCCCGAGGATGGTGGTGACGCAGAGCGTGATGGTCGCGATGATCACGTTGAAGCGGCCCAGCTTGTCGGCCAGGAAGCCGGGGAGGAAGCGGCCCAGCACGGAGCCGGCGTTGAGGGATGCCAGGAGGACCGAGCTCTCGGCGTCGCTGCTGCCGTGGCTCTTTGCGTAGGAGATGATGTAGGTTATGGGCACGAAGAGACCCCATTCCATGAAGAAGATGCCGACGGCAGAGGACGCGAAGCCTCGACTGCGCAGAATCGTCAAGTCTGGCCAGACTGAGTGTCCTCGTGGCTTCTTCTCGCCGTCGTTGACGGGAGCAGTGAGGCGGCTGCGCACAAAGAGATTCGCGGCCGCGCAGAGAACAAGGAGGATGAAGCCGAGGATGCGGCAACTCCAGGGGAAACCCACCCCGCTCTCTCCTAACAGAAATTGGAGCAACAGCGGGAAGACGATGCCTCCAATGCCTCCTGCAGTTGTAGCGATTCCCGTTGCTAGACCTCTTCTGACGTTGAAGAAGTGAGCGATAGCACCGTAGGCAGGACAGTTAAGTAATGCTCCGCCAGTGCCGCCAAGAACAGAGTAGGTCAGAATGATTTGATAGTATTCTATCCATGAGAGATTAGCCAGCGTGGTAAATCCGGGTAGGAAGATGCAAAATACCCTTTGAAATACTAAGAAGCATCAGGCTCGCAACGATAAGTATACTGCCCACTGCGACCAGGAGACGGGGTCCGTAGTGGTCGAAGATTGGCCCAACTTGAATGCCAATGAAGAAGACCAAGAACAGGTACAAACTGAAGATCCATCCTATTTGGGAGTGACTGTACTCTTTGAGTTGATGCTCTTTAAAATATGATTCAAAGACAGCACTCGTGTTGATCAGGCCGAAGACGGCACCCATTGCGCAGAACGAACCGAAGACGACGAGCCATCCTTGCAAGCCGCCCTCTGGATAATTGGGTTCGTCAGAACTGTTTGAAGCCGCGAGCTCAGGCGAGTCAGGCGAGTCAGTAGAGTCCGAGGTTATCTCATTTGTTGATTGGTGGTGATGGTGGAGGGCTGGGCCCTTCATCCCAATGCCCTCGGTGTGTTGGTGGTGGCCATCTTTTACGGTAAGACGCTGGTGGTTTTTCAGGCAGGTTTCCTCTGCATTTTTGGGGGCAAATTCCATTAAAAAGCCCTAGGAGGGCCCCTGTGAACTGACTCGAGACTTTTCACGTGAAGGTGAAGTCAATTGGAGGTTGGGTCTCAGTATTGGCGAGATGACGGATCAAGAGAGGAGATCTGCACCTAGGGCATGCCTATTCGTTTATAAGTCAAGCCAGAACCAGGATTAGATAATTGGATGCATGTTGAACGAGTGGACAAATGAATGAGCAAGAAGCGAGCAAGGATCCTTGCATTAAGAAATTAGATATAACGTAACAGATACCTCTGCCAATGATGGATGTCGAAGTTGAGCGATGTAACAGAGCCACATCATCAAGGCTGCAGATGTGCATGCCCACGTTTTCGTGTACGGCTTCCATGGGTATGCAAGACAGGCTTATATTTCTATTTGAAATAGCCATCGCGTTCCATCCTGCCAACTGTGCACCACAGTGAGCCCCTTTGTAGAACTCGACTGATTCATTATCTCCCTAGCGGAACACGAACTGAATCAATACCAGAACGCATTTTCTAAATTTAGCAGGATCAATGATACCGGAGCGAATCGAGCTCTCGGATGCATCTGGACCCAAGCCAAGCGAGCTTTCTGGATCATTCACCGCATACGCCATCCATCTAAGGACAAGGGAAGCGAGTCAACCTTGTCAGTTGTCAGTCTGGCCCAGTAATTCGTTTGATGGCAGCCTCTTGCGATATAAGCGGCACCGACTTCGCCGTATCGAAAATGAGGCTATACCGGCCTTGCATCGTTCGTCAGCCTAAGCTATCATTACACATTGCCCTTCCACAAGCTAGTTGAGAGTACCTAGTGACACCGTAAGCATCCTCCATATTAGACGAGCAGTGGCTTGAGAAATCCGAGAGTGTCGGTTTCATAAGCGTTTAGCTGTCTATGTGGCTTGTGTAAGTCATACCCGGCGACGGTACTGCCCGAATGCCACGTTCTAGGACGACTCTCCAGTGCCCTGCACTGGTGACAAACTTTAGCGGAGTACCTCCGTATCTCATTTCCGTAGCTTTTAACAGTCCAAACCCACGCAAACATTTCTATCACTTCAAGAGTCCTAACCTCGTAACATCCTTGGGAGAGTGGCCAAGAATCGTCTCGGAACGGCAATTATGACTCAATAACCACGCAACAGCCACAGGGCTCAATTCCAGCACCAAACTCCAAATTTCCACACTCAGAGTAGTCTCTGATCAATATGGAGTCGTGAAATGCCAAATCCAAAAAGAAATCAAAAAGATATGTGCCTGGGCCCGGACTCGAACCGGGGTTTCCACGGTTTTGGATGATTCCACAACGTGGTGCCCTGACCACCTAGACTACCCAGGCCGGCTAATTGATAATATTTCAAAGTTTTATCTCCGTATATATACACTTTGCAGGAGCATGGCTGGGAAAAGTAAAAAAGAAAGAGAGTGGAACCTGGGGTGAAAGTTTCGATGATGGGCGTAGTGTAAACAAAGGCAAAAAGGATGTGCGAAACAAGATTGTGCCTGGGCCCGGACTCGAACCGGGGTTTCCACGGTTCCAGTTGAATTACCCACAACGTGGTGCCCTAACCACCTAGACTACCCAGGCGAGCTGACTAAGATGGTGCCGGGGGCTCTTATTGCATCTTAGATAGCCCGGGGATATCACCGCGAGAGAAAGAAAAAAAGATAAAGCTGCTTCGTCGAGCTGTAGTGAAGAAAGGAACGTGCTAGAAAAAGCAAAAAGAAAGTGCCTGGGCCCGGACTCGAACCGGGGTTTCCACGGTTTTGACGCTTGATCCACAACGTGGTGCCCTGACCACCTAGACTACCCAGGCAAGCTTAGTAATTGATGGAAACATGACTCTGATAATGTATACTAAGTACCCTCCCTCCTACTCTGCTCGAATCATTGCACTTGGGCTCTGGACCATGACAAGCTGTAAGCCACATTGCTTCCAATACGTGTAGTTACTTTTCTTTCAATAACTACAGTACTCAATTCTCCACCAACTTTGAGCTAACAAGAGCCTATGTTTCTCAGAGAATCATTTGCATTAGAGCTGAGATCTGTATGCTGCCATTCTTGAACCTACCCTGTGTCAATCACACTGCTCATCCGATTCAGCATCTGGGCCCTACTAGGCCTTGAAATTATTGAAGCAGCATATCATATCTTAGTTCTAACTTCTTTCTTGGAGGATATCTATTTTGTGTTATTATTATATTTGATATATAAATGCTCCGGAGCACATTTGCTCATGTTGTCGCAGACCACACGTTCTTCTGTATCGATACTCTTGACGTTATGTAAGGCACATACAGGAGACCATTATTCCATTTACATCATTCAAGAACTTCCCCCAAGCATTAAACCGCCCTGGAATTCGGGTTCCACTGCTGTATCTGGATCGGTGTAGTTGACCGGCTTGTGAATACGCAGGAGCCAGAGGAAGTGATCCTCAAGTACGCAGAGGTTCAGCAAGAATTCATTTCCATACCATGCAAGGCCGCAGACCATGGCACCGGCGACGGCGTCGAGTATGAAGTGGTTCGCCGTGGCAACGATGGCGGTGAGAATAAGAGTAGGATAGGACATGCCGGCCACGACAATTGCGCCGCGCTTCCACGAGTTCGATCGAAGGCCACTGATGGGGAGGGTGGCGATAGTGAGGCCGATGAGGAGAGAGTATCCAAAATGAAGAGAGGGCATGGCAGCTATTAATGTGGATAATTAGCGACTGAAATAAAACACCTTGCTGGATTTGGTTGTGGGCCTTCACTGACCATATTGATTGCAGAACTTGTTTGTTGTCCAAACACTGCTCTCGCCGGCCTTGCTGTGGACGGTGTCGACGAACCCAAAACTCTTGGCCTCCGCGGCATTGTTACCCTCGTAGTTGGGGTCGCTGAGTAGTCTCGGGGGCATGCATGGCCATAGAGTGAAAACGATAAAGGCGATGAGGTTGCACATCGCCATCGTGCGTCGACGCGCCTCGTAAAGGGCAGGACCGGTACCTGTGTTGTCGTTGATGACTCGGCCGGTCATGTGGTGGCGCTTGCGGGTTGTGGTGAGGTAGTAGAGGACGACGAGGAAGAGGATGGTTCCGGGGATATGGATGAAGGAGTAGACCCGGTTGATCCAATGGAGCAGAAGAGGATGCTTGAGGAACCAGTGCTGGACGGGGAGCTCCCAGAAGATCTTTAGTTCTTGCTCAAGGTGAATGACCTCGAGGGCGTGCCTGCGGGCGACATTGACGGTGCCTTCAACAAGGGCGAGAGCTGATATTGCACGGCCGATCTGATATACCTGTGGAGAAGCATAAATGTGTTAGGGCATTAGACTTGAGACCATGGTCATTGTCTAAAATGTAGGGGGAAATCTGAGAAGGGAGATCTCGTGATGGGTAGATTAAAGGAATGATATGAAGGCGAGTACGTACCCAGTATATGTTTGCCCAGTACCAGGCCTCAGCAAGAAATGGGAATTTTTGAAGAACACGACTGAGAAAGCGATCTTTGAAGACCAGAGTATTCGGCGTGGACACAATCTTGGTGTAACGGAAGAGATGGAGTTTGCGGCGACGGAGTCTTGGTTCTTGGGGTGCCAAGGTTGGGGTGGAGGACGAGGAGCTCCATTCCTCAGAAGGCCTGCTTCCTAAATCCTCAGTATCGTCGTTCCTTTTCAAATTCCTGTGGCCAGCCCATCCTGACGTTCCCTTTCGAAGGTCATAGTCCTTGTTTCGATTGAAGTAGGCGCCCCCAAAGAGGAGTGTCACCACCACCAACGGCTCAAGGAATGCCCCGACCGCCATGTCGAATCCTATAGCAGAGATACAATACTGGCGGTAGGGAAGGCCTGATGTACAGTAGATGAGCTGAACCTAGAGGTCGCTAAATAACCAAAACGAAGAGCAAATGTTGCAGTCTTGGCGGATGGGGCCAAGTGGCAATATTGATGATGAGTGGACAAGTGAATATATACGAGAGTGAACAGCAATCAGGAAATAGGAGGGGAAGGAGCAATCGGATACTCGAAGTATGTATAGGGAGGCAGCTTCGGACCGCCTACATAATATGTGCCTGCCGAGCCTCGTGGATGAAACCCGCTCAGTCCACTATTACCAAACTCCAAGAAGAGTATATCGACGATCAAGAAGCCCAAAAGCTGCTGACCCGAGCAACAAGCATTAATCCCGGAGACTCAATGAGTCCGGAAAGAGCGACGCCCGCGTTACCTTGCCTACGAGGTGGGCTGGGGTTGGCTGCATGTATTGCCAAGTAACTGTCTGATAAATCTCATGCTGGGCTTGGATGAAAACTGGATATGCATAGTACGGGATCGTCGGAAGACCCAAGTTTGACCGGCTCCTCACCCTCCTTCACGAGCTGGTGGTGGGTGGTGGAGATGTTGGGAAAGAGCGGAAATTGTAAATTCATGTTAGTCTGTCTCTGGCCACTACGATACTAGACAAGCAAAGGCTCAAAGAGAGCCAAGCGTCACAATCTAATGATACACGCCATCTATTTCATGCTGTCTCATTCGAAGACGAACTACGGTGGAAAAGGCCACCGTCTCATAGCGGTCCTTGTGGGAGGTGGAGGCAAGGGAACGGAGCACCGAATGGGTTTGATGTGGGATCTGATAAACCATGCTCACTATGCCACCGGCATCTATGGGCAATCCGTCGGCAGACCCCCTCGGATGGAAATCTGGGTTCTCGTTCTTGGATGTGGCACAATGGAGAAAGCAGCTAACAGTTGATGTGTGGCTCATGCTCCGCCTCCTGGACAAGGTTTGGGCTGTGATGATCAGATCCAGCAAACGCGAGATTGGCAGTCGTCATCGGCTTTGGGCAAACCCATATGGCGGTGATGGCGGGTACGTAATTTGGGACAGTAGCTCCTAATGATGCAGCCAAGCAACGCGGGTGTGGTTGTGTCGCGTGCCCAACTGTCGACGATGTGTCAGGTGTCTTGTGCTCGTTGCAAACTCAACGCCCCAAGCGTCTCCCAGCGGCCAGCAGCATCCGGTAGTAGTTGGTAGGGCAGGACTAAGGCTATCGAAGGCAGGCCGGTGCCCTGCTTGTCCGGCAGCTGCGGGACCTCGGCGGTTTGGCGTGACTTTAAACTGACCCTACGTAGCAATTACATTTGATGCAAGCACAGCAAGACCAGGGGCCAATGTCCCTTGGCTGTTCTGCGGCTGCTACCCAATCCCTGCCCACTGGGGCTTCCCACCTTTGTTTATCTTGCTTCTGGGTTGCTGAATGGTGGGATTGGAACATGGGGGAAGATTCTCAGGTTGCAGTGCTGAAGTCATGCCACACAGCAAGTCCCCAACTGCTTCGCAAAGAAACCGAGGCGAGACAGTTGTCGATCCACTCCATTTCCCGAATTCCGGCAATTGCGTCGGGATTGACTTGGAAAGGAACGACGTTGAGAATCGCATATGATTCTTGGCCTGGGGCACTCTCGTGATCCAGCCCACTCGACCTCGACTATTAGGACCGGATTTCAGTCAATTGACCGACTGGCATCTGCTCCGGGAGTACGCCACACGTGGAAGGACGCGCCCAAGAGTGGCTTGGGGGAGGGGGAAGCACTGCAATGGTGACGAAATACCACGCACTAACCTCCCACATAGTGCAGCTTCAAGCTTTTGCATGGCTCGGGGCCGGTACATCTCGTCTTAGTGGATGGTCGTATCCCGATTTTGCTTTGCTTTGCTGTTGCTCGACCCACCCAGTGACGAGTGCCTTTTCCTGGTCGTGTCTCATCGGGCAGTCGGTAGCTTCTACCCTCCGGGCTGAATCTCGCAAGTCGTCGGCGACCATCTCACCCTCGCATCCCGCCACATTGCCGAGCGCGAGGTTCCCATAAGATTGGTAAGGTTGGCCTAGCGCATCTCGTTTAGAGAACCTCATTTGGCTTCCTCCGCTCTTCGGAATGCGCGGGACATGGAGGTTGATCTTGTTGGCAGACCACAGCGGTATTTTCGTTGAAATGGCTTATCAAGACGGCATAACCCGAGCCTTCGACTGCCGCCAGAGCCCCTGGTTCCATCGCCGCATTCGGATTCCCGCCGAGCCAACCATGTTAGCTGAGCTTGTTTGAAGCTTGTTCAAAGCTTGGCTTTTTGGCCCATTTCCTTTCAAGGATTTCCCTGTCTTAGCCTGGAATGTCAGTGTTCCCAATTGAATGTTACGATGAAGCTATCGCGGCCGTCTTGCCGAAGTCGATAAACCATGATGAATAAAATATTACGAAGAACAACAAATGTCATCTTTGAGTGCCCTGGCTGGTAATTTGTTGCGAGGGTACACGTGATATTCATTAGTAAGCGGCTTCACCCACCTCCCAATGAGGGTCTCAGTACCTATCAAGGTCGACATGGGAAACACACATTCTGATCTCGGTGATGTCGATGTCTTGACGCGGAAGGATTGGGCGATATGTTCTTCTCAAACTGACAACCTAAATTTTCTTTCTTTTCTGTGACGAGTTTTATTAAACCTCTCTACCCTTATTTTGGCCTTTTTTTTTTTTTTTTTTTGGCAGTAAAGCCCTCGACAAGTCCACTGACTCATCCTTGGTCCAGCCAAAATAACGGATATTTCAGCGGACTTTTAAGACTATAGCATTGAAGAACTTTTCCAGATTGGTTTATAGTCTTGAGGGCTTGACTTCAACCGATCACAATGGCAGAAGCCAGGACCTTGTTAACAGTAATCATCACTACTTCAGTGACGCCAACAGCTCCTTCAACAGAGCTGATCTCGACAGCTCTACAGTCCTTTCGGAGCTTCTGCCCTGATTTGCTAACATGCAATGTCATTGTTGTGTTTGACGGATATGATGAAATCCAGTCCACTCCCCGGCTAAAGAAGGGCAGGGTAACGCCCGAGCAGGCAAAAAGCTATGGCATTTACAAGACTAATGTCAAGAAACTCATCCTAGAACACTACGGGAAACATGAGTCTGGTGCGGCCTTCGCCCAGTCTGAAGGCGAGGCAGAATTTGGCGGGTTGAGAGCTGGCCCAAACTCCGTACAATTTACAACTAGTGTGACTCTTGACAAGACAGTATCTTTTATAGAGCCGAGCAAGCGGATAGGTTTCGGCCTTGCGGTCCGTACAGCGCTCCGCATGACAGATACGCCGTACGTATGGGTTCATCAGCATGATTGGGTTTTGTCGGCAGATATCCCACTGGGGGCCTTGTTGGATGTCATGCAAGCCTCGAGTTCGGAACCTGAACGGCCCGTCAAATATGTCTGCTTGCCCTCACCACGCAATCTATCATACGATACGTGCGGTGAAGTAGTAGAATTTCCTACCTTGAAGACGTTGACCGCCTCGCTCAAGGCGGAGTTCAGCCCCAAGCTTTACCCCGATGCAAAGATCGCGCTGACGCCCCTGTTTCACTGGTTTGACAAACCCCACATTGCCTCCAAGGCTCACTATTTGGAGAGAGTGTTCCCCTCACGGCTTGCCATGCTTCGTGGAGATTTTATCGAAGATAAGATTGGACATGTCTGTAGAACCCAAATGAAGGATGGACAGGTAAGAAGCCCTGCGGCTCAAAATATAGAGCATGAATTTCCCCAAGGGCAAAACTCGCTTTGGACAAGACAATTTACTAATGGATTTTGATATAGTGGTCAAAATGGGCGACATGGCTTTACTATCCAGGCGAAGGGCAAACTCACTGTGTGACACACCTCCACGGCCGAGTTTGGGTTGGCAAGGAGGCCGAGGACAAGAAGATTGCCGAATTGAGGTCGAAGGGGTTGACACAAGCCCCCAAACAAGGCCCTAAACCTGAGCCTGTATACGACACCGCGATTTTCCAACAGGATTCGGAGGAGTGATTTGACTTTGAGGACGAAAAAATTATGCATGATGGCAGCTTTGCCGTGACATGGCATCTCTGAAGCTCGGGTGGGCTCGGTTTTCCCCGCGAGACGAATCACACTGATGCCGGGAGAATCCATCACAACACCCCTTTTGTTCGACAGAACTCGCAGCTGACTCCTTTGCTGATTTCCCTAGGCAGCCATTTGGTTCGCTTGCGGTGGCAGAGAAGGTTCAATTTGCGTCTGGCCAGATTTACTATCCGGCCACGAAGCGGGAATCTTTTGCTACAGAATTCACCCAAGTGCCGTTCAGTTTTAATACTCTAATTCATCACATTGGTTTTGTTTGATTATTTCCAACAAGCGGAACGCCACATGAGGGACGCCAAAGCAGATAATTACATGCCTCTTCCCAACGAGAACCGTCCCAGCTCATTGATCTCATTAAACTCGCTTGACACCCGCACCAATTCGAGCATGGATGCGAGGAAAGGCCATCAGATCCCCTTAGCCTGTCATCTCGTGTTGTGGTCCTCGCCGCAGCTCCTCGTTCGACGCCATCTCTCGGATATCTGTTCGCCACCACGGACGCTTGGGTACGTCGCCCTGAAGCTCCTCACTGCCCGAGTTCGTCTCCGCCGGCTTGACAACCGTATTCCGGCGTCTGACCATCCAGATCGCGACCGCCAGGGCTGTGATTCCAGTAGCTCCCATCGCAATACCAACCCCGAGGCCGATCCTGGCTGCCGTTACTAGCCCATCGCCAGAGGATGCGGAGCTGTCGCCCGAAGCAGCCGAATCATCCTTGCTTCCTCCTGAAGCTGTAGTCGTTGCCGCCGCACTGGAAGCTGACATAGAAGAGACGAGTGTCGATGTCGACAGAGAGGCGCTCTCCAGGGGTCCCCCAAGCGTGGTCTCCCCCGTCCTTTCTGACCTGGTTGTTGGGCTAGACTCGGAGCCTGAACTAGCTGTGGATGGCGAGGAGGTCACCTCCGATGATGAGGAGGATGTGGCTGAGGAAGAGCTCACCGAGGAGCTGGTGGTCGAGGCGCCCAGGCTGAATGTCGAGGCTGTTGCTCTCTTCCCGCTGGCCACCTTGAACCAGCCGCTGTTCCAGCCTATGTCGTCTGGATTTTCCCTACTTCTCAGGTTGAACCAGCAATTGTCCGAGCTCGTGTAATTGATCGTCACGAGCTCCTCTCCGTTATACGCTACTGCATCTCGAATCTTGGCCTCTGTGGTTCTCGTTCGTCAACTCGTATTCTCTGGGTGGCTGTATATTGAGAATGGGATAGACATACTCAACGTGGGGCCCTTCTCACCGTCCCAGCACCATGTATAAAGGGAATTGTCTGGGATCTCGGATTTATACAGGACTATGATGGAATCGTCCTGGTAGGCCGTGAGGGTTAGGTGCGAGGGATACAGAATTTCTGCTTTGAAGCTTGAAACAGGATCCTCGGCGGCGACGTATAATGACAGTCCCAGCAGCACATAGGCTGCTCGTCTCCTCAAATGCATCATCATCATGAATGGTGTCGCAAGGCTTATCGTCGCCCTGGGTTCCGGCGGGGGAATTGACTGATGAATAGAAAGGAGTGTAGCTCCTCTAGGCATTGAGTAGCCTTTTCACCCGTGACGATACACGGCCTGGTCCAGGCTGTCATCAGTATATGGCGTGGGATTGTGATGCACACCTGCATTGCCGCATTATCCATGTTGTCAGCAGTGAGGATGGCGGTTCCAAAGGTTGACTGAGGATGGGCCAACACAGGAGCGAAGGGGCCAGCGGGAGTTGCTGTCGAGGAGGACTGGGGAGTTGCGTAGGTACTGTGCCACCAGAGAAGATGCATCGGGGGTGCATATTGGGTAACAGCAACAGGGCACGGTTCGACTCTCAGCTGGTCCAGAAGGTTGCTTGTTACAGTTTCTAAGGCAAAGCACCCGCCACGGCACCAACTGTGCCCCCGCCCCTGCATTCATGATCTTCGACGGTGCTAGAGCTGCTCAGTGGCCAGCGCAGCGCAAGAGCGCCATCCCAGCCTATCATTCATGCCTGGTTGGGTCGCTGGGCGAAGACAGGGCTAGATCTAAGAACTACGCGGATGCCATGACACTTTTGTTCATCCCGGAGGCAATGCCAGTAGTGATCCAGGCAGAGCCGCTAAGAAGAGGCCGCGCCATATCCGAGACAAGGCTACAAAATGGATTACGCCCCGGCTTACTATAATGCCACCCTACGTGCTGCAGAGGAGATTGTGTAAACCAATTCAGTGATATGAAACGTGATGCGCTCAGTTTTTCGCAATTGATCCGTGGTGAAATTGTAGGAGTAACTGAGCCCCTCTTCTGAAGAAACGTACTCATGTAGGGAGCGCGCCATACTGTAATATTCAACGCATGTAGGGCTGTTGGGGGCTCAGAAAACCCCCAATACTACCCAAAAGGCCGCCCATAGTGTGATGTCAAACATGATGATCCTGTTCCGTAGCGAGCTGAATGCCAAAGTATCCGAAAGGATGATGCTTACGGCGGGCCGCACTGAAATCCCGTCATGATATCAGCTGACATATTCTTGTCAGATCTGATCGCTTTCCTGAGCATGAATGGTAGGATTTCTTGCTTTGTAATTACATTGTGGTTTCTTCAAGGCGGTAGTGTAGAGAGAATCGGAACATTAGGGTGCTTATGGTAAATGATGATTGCTTCACCATTACATTCGACATGCACTTAGATAGTAATGTGTAAATGCTCCAGTTAGACAGGCACACTTCGTGCTTCTTCGAGTCCATTGAGGTTGATTATCCTGCAAGTTCTGCTGCATCTCGGTGTTTAGCTAAAACACACACGCATGCTTCTATCAGATATTCTACAAATTTTCAAGTCCAAGGCGGTTATTCCAAACTCACCCATTAGCCAAACATCCTTGCTTATCCTTTAGGCAAGGGTTCCCAAACGCCATGTAAACTACCCTCCCATCTAAAATTCCATCTCATCCTCTTGTACTATCCTACCAAGGATGAGGCTCTGGATAACCAATTCATCATTCAACACCCGGGGACACTCTTCGGCCGATAAGCAAGAAGCCGAGTGGCTCCTCTTGCGTTTCCTCCCCCCGCCGCCACTACCCAGCGACGACATCACCGACTCTGCGGTCCCCACGCTCTTGTCCACGTAAATCCACTGGTACGGCCGGCCGTCCTTTGCGTGCTTCTTGATAGCCTGCTGTGCCTGCTGTGCCGTGAACACCCGAGAGATCCTGGGCCCTAACGCCTGTGCAAGGAAGATATACGGTTGCTTGGCTTCCGCCCGGCTCTTCTTCGAGTCCATGACGACCAGCACTTTCTGACCTTCTAGAAGCTTGCTGCGACACTTCACGACGTTGGCCAGTTGTGCCTCTGTAGCTGGGTACGTATCCAGCTTCCGCGATCGGATGGCATTATCGAGCACGGCCGAGGAACCTGAGCACAGGAGGTAGTCCTCCCAGCTGACAATCTGACCTCTGTTTAGGCAAGCCGTGATCCATTGATGAGCTAGGCATGGCAGTCCGAGCGCCAGCGCCTGCATGTACTTGGGTTTCCTCGAATGTCCATCCGCAATGACGGCCGTGAACCCTCCCTCGCTGAAGGACTCCACCAGCCTCAAGGGCGCATCTTCGTCGTAGATTGGTGTCGGGGTGCTCAGTATAGCCGACTGCTCAAACAAGGGCTCAAAGCCGTCGTTGACTATTGTGCCGCCGGCCTGGGCGATCCTTGCCTCTAGCTTGGTGCGCTCCTGAGATTTAGACTGGCTAAACGACAAGGCAAATATCATGCCGCCAAACAGCCCTTCAGTTTGCGCAACTGCCGCCACACCGTGACGGAAACTCCTGATTAGCTTGGGATAGGTGACGCTCTTTTCCAGCACGCTCTCCGATGGCGAGCGGATCAGTTCGTCCGTCGACTCAGACCCATATCTAGGTCTCTTGACATTGCGAAGATTTCTCACAGCTTGTGGCGAGGTAGAGCTGGCTACACTTCGTAGTGCCCTGGCTCTCAGATTTCTACCTGACGGAGCGTGAGCTGTGTCATCAGATATCGCCCCATCTTGCTCACGAAGCACATTAATCAGAGGTGTCGTCATGAGTGACGAGGGGGGTTCTGATGAGAGGCTGCTCAGGGAAGAAGATGAGGAACTCTGGGCTTCCACACTGACTGGCACCCTGGCCTTGGGCGTCTCGCACTTCCTAGGCTTCACCTCGATTGATTCTCGCTCCGCATTTTCGTTCGACGAAACTGGATGCTCTGTTTCTTCCGTTCCTTCATCTGGGGGAGATGTGTCTGGTAGAAAGTTTGTCTTTTCCTCCTTATCACCCGGAACGGCGGTGGATGGGGCTGAGCTAGTTGGGGGAGATCCAGGCTTAGTCGCCGTTTCCAGTTCCTTTGAGACGGCCTCGGAAACGGATGAGCTTATGATTGTAGCCCTTCTCCCTTGCCGAGTCCGTGTTCCATATGACTTTTGCACTCTGGCCGGCTTCGGAGAGAAAGACGACGGCCCAATTTGTGACACGCTCCGGCTGACTCCCGAGTCTGTATTTAACTTGGGTAGGCTTGACCCGGACTGTGTAATCCCTGGACGCGTAGGGCTTGTAGCAGGGACAAATTCATCAGCCGCCGGGTCAGTTGCCTTGAGCTCCTCTGGCTCCAGCTCCACCTCATTTTCCTTCTCCTGCTCTCCATCACTCTCCTCCGTGCCCTGTGTCGTTCCATCATGCGGCACCTCGCTCTGGCTGGCAGGTTTTTGCTGTGAGGGCTCGACGTTGTCACTCTGAGCAATGATGGTTTCTTCCGACGGTTGAAACCGCGGCGTCTGAACCTGAACCTCCGGACTGACCCGGCGGCGCTTGTTGCCATGCCGCTCTTTAGACGTATTCCGAGGCAGCGGTATGAAGGTAACCTTCTCCATCTCCTGTGCAGCTTGGGCTCTCTTCCTCTCAGCCTTCTTGCGCCGCTCCATGCGTCGCATGGCATCGTCGTCCGAGTCGCTATCAGAGCCAACGAACCGCCAGACTTCGCCATCGCTAGACTTCCTCTGCTGGGACGCCTTCATGTTCTCGTAGTGCTCTCGGGGCTTGTGGACGCCGGACAGCCTCGACGCCTTGTGCGTCGGGGACTCGGGGATGATCTCGTCTTCGGTCGACCTGCTGTGGGATGGCGTCTCCTCCTCGATCCGCTCTAGGTTGTTGCATCGGGGCTCCGTCTCGGGGATGTCATTGAGCCTCTGCGGGCTCGACGTCCGAATATCAGTCGGGGACGATACATTGGTACGGTCTTTGAGCGGCGATGTCTCGGGCAGGTTGGGAGAAAACGAATTCGGCAACACGTGCGGCGACGGCCTCGAGGACGTCGGGCTGGCCTTTTTGATTGCAGAGGACAGGAGCTGAGTCTGCCCAAACAGCTGACTCCCGGCAAAGGGTACCGGCGCGGCCGCCCTCTGGCCAAACGGATTCTTAGGCACGATTGGCGTCTCAAAGGCAGGGTCCTGCGGCGCCGCCTTGAAGGGCGTAAACAGCGTGCTCGACCGCAGCTGGGACGTCTGATCCGGCACCCTCCAGTCCCCTCTCGTCGCCGTGATGCCGCCATCTTCGGAGACCTGCGACGACGGCCGGCCAAACTGGCTCATGTCCCCGAAGTTGACCGCGCCGGTGTCGCCAGCCTGCAGCGAGCGGTCCTCGTTGTCCGGGAGCAGCGAGTCGTTGTCCTGCCCGGGGCTCCAGGAGCCGGCCGCCGCGTCGTCGTCGTCATAGTCGCGGTCCTCGTTCACCTGCGTCGGGGTCTGCTGCGACACGTCCATCTTCCGAGTCTGCGTAGGGGGAGGCCCAGCGGGCTGCTCATGCTTCCGACCGTCTAGCAGTGGCGCGACGTCATGCTGTATTTCAGCTCGTAGCAGTGGCCCGTCGTCGCGCAGGGCAGATTCGTCTTCTCTGTTGTCCACGGGGGAGGGATCGCGGTTGGGTTCGTCCGGCCGGGGTTCGCTGCTAGTGCTTCTGCCTGGCGACGGGGATTTCGGTACGCCTTGCTCGTTATCGGGGTTGGGGGCGGCGGTGCATATTTGCTTTTTTCCATTTCAATTGTTAGTAGCCTCATCCCTGTCAAAATCTGGTGTTTTTAATGTGGACTGGACCAACCAAGCTTCGCGAGCGTGTCACCGACTGCTCAGCACCTGCAGACCCAGGCACAACGCCAGGCGCACATTGGTCGCGTTTCAGCACGCTGTCGTGGTTAAGTGACCTGTTACTTGAAGGTGCAACGGGCCGCGTTTGTCGGTCGGGGAAGGACGAGTCGCTGAACTGGTTTGCGCGCACACACAGGATTAGTAGACGACGCAAGCCGTGGGGGTTAATTGCTTTTTAGGACTTACGGTTCCGACACCCAATTCGATCTTGTATGCTTCATAAAGGGCCTGGCTGTCCTGGGTCTCCTCTGGGCCTAGCACTGTCACCTGGGCTGCCTGCGAATCTGAACTCGCCGACATCATTTTGCTAGTTGCATAGTGGATGTAGAGATGTGAGAAGAGCGATCCAAAAAAGCGTAGGTTTTAACTTGCGATAAAGTGAAGAATAGCACAAAACCCAAAAGTCCGTTGGCACCACCTCAATTGACCCATCTCCAACTACGCGCTCTACCACACGAAAACACGTGACCTGACGAGCAGTCATTTAACCCGCAATAGACTTTGGAACAAAGGTCATCTTAGAGGCGGGCCGTGCTACTGGACATCGGAACAAAGGCATTGAAAACTAAACATGAGTTCATTCTCGTCATTCTCCCTGTCCTAGCCCGTATCAAAGATTACGGTACAAATGTGAATGCATCGCTAAAGGGTATATGCTACGTTAAGTTAAAGAAAACCACTATACAAAGGCCGGCAGTATATGTATGGCCTGGCTTTAATTCCACTCATCCTCGCTTCCCCAGTCATCTCCGGTATAATCTACAGCGGGAGTCTTTGTCCATTTGTCCTTCTTCTCACCAGACGCTGTCTGAGCTCCAGGCAGAGGAGCACTATTCGGGGCTTGGGCAAGAGCATCCTCATCCCGCTTAGGGATAGGGGCCAATGGCTGTGGTGTCAAAGGAGCCGGCGCTGTTGGAGCGTATACCGTAGGAGCAGCCAGTATCTGAGTTGGTATGTTAGGAGTGGATGCTTTCTGAGCAGGCACGCCTTGAGTAGATACCATTGGAGCACGTATACTGGGAGCAGGTGCATTGGGGGCAGCAGGCGCTGGAGCAGTCTGCGCAGGAACAGGCAAAACAGGAGCCGGTAGGGTAGTTGCTTCCGCCGGGGTCGGCTCTGTTCGCTGTGACGATGGCCGGCTGGCGATCGATGATTTTGGTGAACCGGTGCTATCCTTCGGTCGTAACTCAGGGCTCCTATAGCCAGGACCGTTCGGTGGGTGAGAGCCCAGAGGTGTCCCAGGGTGCAGTTGGAACGAAGGGCTCTGTCTCCCGTGTGGGTGAGCTTGAGGGGCCAGCGAGGGAGACTTCTGCGGACCTTGAGAGTCTGTCGAGGCCCTATTGGAGGCCATCGTGTTGGTGCTTGGAGAAGCAGATGGCGTTAGAAGTGGAGCGGCAGTAGGCTGCGAGGGCAGATAATCTTGCTTTATGACGGGTACATTGCTAAGTTGGTAGCCCGAAGCCTGCGCAGACTGGTTAGGGTTGGGCCCGAAGTTCAATGGACTTTGCAAACCCTGGGATTGCGGACCTGGGGGGTTTGGAATATGTTGGATGTGCATATGTTTGATTTGCGGCCCCGACTTTGAACTCTTGAACCACTTTGTCCACTTTCTGTCTTTCTCCTTGGGAGAGGGACCTTGCCCTGGCTGTGGCGAACTCGCACCCGGCTGACCCTTTGATGGCTGAAACCCAGGACTTCCTTGTTGAGGATTGGGTGAGAAACCTGATGCCTGGCCGCCTGGTGACATGAAAACATCCGGTTTCGATGCTGTGCGAGCATGCGGAGGGCGAACCTGTCCCGGGGAATAAAACTGGGTGTGAGGCGAGGCCGACGCCCCGAAGGGTGGTTGGCCTTGGACAGGATGCCCTTGGGGAGAAATATGCATCTGAGCCATCTGTCCATGAGGAGGTATATACCCCGGCGGAGGTATCTGTCCCTGAGGAGCCTGCCCATGAAGGTGTTGCTGATTTTGAGGTGTCAGCGCTTGTGGGGGCAGTTGACCATGAGGTTGGATTTTGCCTTGTGTCGGGTATCCTTGCGGCGGAAGCATTTGCCCTTGAGGCGGCATCCTCGAATGAGGAGGCGCCTGGCCGTGGGGCATTTGCCCTTGCAGATGTTTCTGCTCGTGGGGAGGCATCGGTCCTTGTTGAGGGTTTCCGAGGTTCAGAGGTGACACTTGTGGCATCTGGCCCTGTGCTTGTGGTGACTCTGGAGGCGTCTGAGGTCTGCCATGAGGTGCACTTGGGGGGAGGTGATGAGGTGCAGGTTGAGACTGCCGTGGCGGTTTTTGCCCGCGGAGAGATCCTTGCCGTTGGAAGCCTGGAGCGTGAGGTGAGGAGTGGGTGACGGGAGGTTGATCGTGAATTGGACCCGGATGAGTCGAGAAAGGCTGGACTGATGCCACTACATGACTCGTTTGAGAACCCGACTCTCGCAGTGAGGTGTGTCTTTGAAGCGGAGCCTGATTCTGCGCAGCTTGCATTTGAGCCTGTGGCGAGACATGGCGTCTCAAAGACTCATGTCTGCTAGGAAGACCTTGGCCCAAAGGTGACATATGCCTGGGAGGCGGCAACTGTGCTGGGGGAGTTGCTGAAGGGTGTGGTGGGACATCCACTCTGTCTACGACGGGGGGGACGTTATCAACCGGGTAAGGAGCTTGACGGACTGGTTGCTGATACTGCTGTGGCGGTGACAGAGGGTAAGGAGGTAGTCCAGCTGGAGGGCCATTCGGTGGTGGGGGTTGGCCAGGTGCCAGAGCATAGATTGGAGCAGTCCCAAAGCCTCCATGTCGCTGCTGCAGAGTGTTTGGGTGCCCTGGCGGGCCATGTCGAGTGGGTGGTGGCTCATGGTGTTCCTCGATAATTGACAAGACAAACCCAGCACCATGTTGTTGCACAGGCCCCATCCTCCCCGGCTCAAGTCGTCGTGGCGGTTGTACATTAGATGCGGAAGACGAGCCAACAGAGTGCGATCTATGTAAGCCCTGGGTTGGGTTTTCTGGCACCTTGGCGGGAACAGGAGGCGATGGTTGCACAGGAGCCTTGCCGGTCCAGTCTAAACCGCTATCGTCGATACTGTAGCCCGGGGGCATCGACATCCTCTTAGATGGCGGCTGAGGCTGGAAGTTTTCCCTTGGTGTAGGCTGAGGTGGGAAATAGGATCCCTGGTCGATTGGCACCTTGCCTGGGCGAGGAGGACCGGACTGAGGAGCCCCATCCTGTGGAGGACTGGAGAAGTTCCTCAGGCCTGAAGGGGGGCGAGTTCCTGGCTGGCTTTGCGTGGCCGAAGACCCAGTATCCGGAGATGGCGTAAATATCGCAGCTCCATCTGCAAGCGAGACAGAGGAGACTCGACGCATATGCTCCATTGGCGAAGGCGTCTGCATAGGAACTTGAGGCGACTGCGTTTCCGATTGTTGGATAGGCGAAACCTCGGCTGCCCCGATGCTCATGGAGCGTTTTGAGGCTACGGTTCGTGGCGGGCCTTGCGGAGGGGCCGCATGGGGATAGTTGCTCGGCCATTGCTGAGGCTGCATCGGAGGTGCGCCTGCCGGTGGTTGCATAGGCCCTACCGGTGTCGATGCTGGGCGAGGCATGTTCGTCATATGGGGAGGGATAGGCTGATGCTGGATCGGACCGTGTCCCTGATGGAATACTCCTGGGTTCTGCGGTGGCTGTTGCTGCAGGCCTAGGGGAGAAGGTGAAGCTCCAAATTGTTGAGGCGGTGGTCCGGGGGGACCAGGAGGCGGTGGAACATAACTCATCCGATATCCTGAGCTGAGTCCGGTGTATGGCTGGTATTTCTTCTCCTTGGAGGCCGCCTCGTCTTGTTCGTAGCTCCTCCTCGGCGGAGTCTGGGCTGGAGATTGGTTGCGAGATCCATCTTGGGAATTGGATGTCGCCTTGCCCGGCACTGAAGGTGCCCTGCCACGAGCGGGCTTGAGAACAGATGGGACCTTGCTCACACCGGGCTTGTCGCCGAGTGCCAGCTGCATTGTTCTCTCAAACTCATCGTCAATGGGTGAGGTGAGATTGGTGCTGTCGCTCAGTTTCCGACCATCCCCATTTCTTGCGGGCCTTAGCACAGATGGTCCAGGTGAGATGCTAGGCGTATTTTCGCCTGGTTTGACCACATCTATCGATTCGACCACGGCACCGGGGACTGGCCGAAATGGAGGTGATCTCTCTGGTGAAGGGCCTGTCGGTTTGCTCAGAGAAAGAGCTGCAGGCACCAAAGACGGATCCATCTTGTTGTTTTTCCCGAGTCCCATCAGGAGCGAGGGCTCACGCTGCATAGATATCCGCCGAGGGTCCAGAGCCATGGATGAACGCCTAGTGTTCTCCATCTTCTCAGTTGCCTCTGTAGAGCCATTCGATGGCGAGAATGCCTGGTACTTGTTACTTGGGCCTTCCGGTTGTTTGTCGACCGGCGGTGACTCCAGCGGGGGTGGTGGAGAGGGTTCTTGTTGTTTCTGTTGCTGTTGTTGAGGAGGAGGAAGGGGCTGTTGCTGAATCTGAACGGGTGGTGTCCCAGCTCCTTTCGACTTGGGTATGTCAATACTTATACCGCCAGGCTCATTAGGCTTCTTATTCTCGACAGGGCTCGTCTGCCCAGGCAGCTCCGAATACCCTTGCGGGGGCAGAATCGTCTCAATCGGAGCGAGTATGGAATTATCAGCAATCTCGACCGGCGGCGGATTCGTCTCGATCTGTGCCCTCTGGGTCATCTCGGTCGCCATCTCGGCAATGACACCCACGGGGTTGAAGACCTCGACGGGGAGCTCATGGGGCATCTCCCGGCTATCGAGCATGGGCACGGCCTGCTCCGCCTCTGTCCCGGACTGCACCACCTCGATCACCGGCCCCGCATCGACAATGTGAACCGCGCTGTCCGTCTTTGGAGGAGGTTCCACGTCGCTCTTCTTGATCGCCGGCGTCGCTCCCTGGCTCGCAATCGGGCTGGGCCCCTTGGATGCCGACGTCGGTGTCCCGCCCGCCTCGGCCAGCGCGCCCGTGATGACCCTCCTCGCCGCCTCGTCCTCCTCCTCAGCCAACGGGCTCACATCGTTGTACGTCCCCGGCCCCAGGTACATCAGGCTCTCTGGCTGGAATATCGCATCCTCGCCCGACGCCTCCTCCCACACGCTGCTGACGGGGCGGGTGGCCGTCGCCGAGACGCGGGCCTTGGGTCGGGCGCCGGTGCCGCTGCCGGAGCTCGTCTGCCGCTTCACCTGCTGCTGCGACGCAAGGAGCTCCTCTGGCGCGAGGGACGGGGCCGGGGCGCCCGCGTCGACGAAGTCGGGGAACTCGTCGCCCTCCTTGGGGAAGTGGTACTGGATGTGGCCCGTGGGCTTGTAAGTGTAGAACCAGCGCTGGCCGTCGTAGTCCCACTCCCAGCCGGGAGGGAGGCCAGCCATGGTGCCTGGTGCTCCCGAGTTTATGATTCAATTACTTTTTCCTACGTCGGCTCGGCTCGTCTCGTCTTTTTGAGGGGAGGTGGATCGTTGGCAGGGGGGGTTGATTTGTATTCGGCTGGTGGTGTCTTGGTCGTCGATCCAGCAGTCGTCGATTGGGGTAGAGACGAGCTGGCGACACGGTTAAAGAGAAATGGAAGAAAGAAACGAGAAGAAAAATGTCCCGGCACTCCTTTAGCGCAACCCAACTACACCCATCCTCCTCTTTTGCAGCAAAGGGGACGCCACTGCTACTCTCGCTCGTACTCTGGCTTGTATACGACCAGTACCGCGGGGTCGGTAGGGCTAGACCGAGAGGGGAGCGACCGGGTCCTGCGAGTGCGCGTGCGGAGGCTCTAGGAGGGAGGGCAGGTCAGGACAAGACGGTTCGCATCGCCAGAGCAGACCGAGATGGCCAAGCAGGAGGAGGAGGAAGGGAAGGGAGAAACGGTCGAGTCGATCAGGCTACCGACTATTAGTGTTTTGGGCGACTAGCTGAACTGGACCCCGACCAACTATTTCCCACTAGCTCAGCCCGCCGCAGCTCCTCATTCTGGGCGTCGGGAGCTGGTCCCCCAACAATTGCTGGCACATGGATGGTCAATGCTAATGCGGCTGAGGTCCAGCGTCAGGTCTCGATTGGCCCCTAAAAATAAGCCTGCCCCAGAAGCCGGAAAGCGCCTTCCAGTCTGCCCGCTACTCAGCAGTAGTGCTGTCCCTGGAGCTGACCAGCAATTCGAGGGCGTACAGTAAACAATGGTTTCCATGAATGATTCTGGTCGCCGATGACCTCCACCCGTGAGAAACGAAATGCTGCAATTAATTGGCCGTCGCGATGCCGTGTCACGATCCGCCCCGTCGCCAGCGCCTCCCGCGATCGAAGGAAGGATGGATCCAGGAATATTCGTCTATAAAGTGGCAGTGTTCGCGGCTGCATTCCGCACTGGCCAAATGGTACCCAACGGCACGGCTCCCGCCAATAGAGGCGCCATGGCCCAAGGAAACGTGGAACGTGGTCGGAGTGCCCCAGAAACACGCGCCTGAGCCCCGGACGACTCACGAAGCGAACCTCTAAGTCTCAGCCGACAGGGAAGGCCATGTCAGACCCATCAGCGGCGTGGGTTTACTACGTAGCCAAGCCCTCCACACGGGGCCAGCTGGGTACTTTAGATTTGAGACACTGGAAATATTATACGACTTATCCTCGAGTTTGTGAACGGTATTATCAGAATACGGGCTAATGATAAGCAAAGGAAGAGACAATACACTTGACTAAGTTAGTTGGTATCGTTTTATCCTGCCGGGTCACTTTTGTCATCATAGTGATCTGCTTGTAACACCCTTCAATCTAGTGTCTCATTTCTTCCATCACCCACTTGGAGGCTCTTCATGGCAACGATTTACGTCAGCCGGCACTTGGAGACGACAAACTCAATCAGGCTTGCCATCCCGGTTGTCCAACGCATGGGGTCTAGTCCGTGATGACATTGCCCCTTTGAGAGCGGGCATGAAATGGATTCACTGGGATACGTGAGCAGGGTCACAGATGAAGGATCTTCCCCATACATTCGAGTCGTCAATGCTTGGAAAATTATACAACAATACCTCAACGTGGTCAGAAGGACTTGTTGGCTTGAGTTGGCTGATGGGCGGACGTGCTGGCATGCAGCCCGTCAGCTTACCATACAGCACGCCAAGACCTCTCTCCATTCTGTACTACCTAATAAAATCAATGTATGTATGTATCTTTTGCCATCTAACCTGCTCATGCTCCTTCACCATGCGAACAGCTCTTGTGCGCATGGGCCCCTCAGTCTATACAGCAGAAAAAAACAGTCATCAAAAATGCCCTTGAAAATTGAAGGAAAGTGAATGGCTAAAAACTTAAACCGAA